CGAAATAAAATTTGTTAATTATGCTTCTATTATATCAAATTTGTATTATATTTTGAACAGCATTTATGATTGTATATTGTATTTTAAATTGTTATTATTGTAATATTGAATTGTATAAAGAATTTCAATAAAAGATAATATCAAACAAATTGTGTAATATGATTGCTAATTATTGCATTGTATTTCGCTATTTATATTGCAATATGATTAGCGAAATATAATAAAATAATTAGACATAAAAATAAAAAATACATTAAAAATATATTCACCTGCAAAAATGAACTACTAAATTTATTAGTAGCTCGTTTTTTTTGCGGGTGAGTATACTTACCAAGAAAAGAGGACCGCCGATAAAATCAGCGGGGGTGGTGGAGGGCCTCTCTAGCACGTTTTTGCTAAATTAAATCTTAATTCAACGATATGTGATTGAAAAGTTTGAAGTCTATTCGAAGACTATAATTGCTAGTGATTAGTGATTATAGAGATTTTGGAATATATTTATATACTAGTAATTATGTTTGGCAAAAACAGACTAAAAATTTGCATAAAAAAACGTAATTTGTGTTATCTCAGGTGAAGACAAAAATAATTTTAAACCAGATCCTATGACACTGTGAGCCTTAGCGAATTATTAGACGAAGGTAACAAAGCGATCTTAATTGTTAGTTTGATACTTTTATTTTATTTCTAAAAATTTAATTGTTATATGTATTGTACTTCACACACAGGTTTGAAGAGAGCACTGCAGAAACTGAAAGAGAAAGAACGTGACAAAGTATTGTCGCAAGAAAAGCTAAAGGCAGCCCAAGAATCCGTGGCATACGGTTGAATAAAATATGCCGATTTATTATATAATAGAAATCGAGTATGTATTTTCATTTGGTAAAATGTTAAAAGATAAAGGCAATACAGCCGTTTACTTACTGTATGCCATGCTTATTAACGTCTTGTTTGCTTTTTGACGTTTACATTTTTAACATTACAGTCTTATAACTTATAAGTATACTTAGTAATTAATTTATTATATACAAAGGCCTCATCGCTATACGCCCTCGTGTCAGATGGAGGCTAGTAAGTACGTGGTTTGTACCGACCGGTATCCCTTCCACATGCCGTAAAATGCCGTAAACGAGCTGGAAATATCACTGTAACGCTATGTCATTATCATTTCCTAACTAAGTTCCCAGATAACAAAACGTTTCTTGGCATAATTACTATCGGAGTTGTGCGAACATAGTATGCAGCACACAATTTGCATTATGTAATCTTGGCTATCTGGATTTGTATGTTATACCATACATAAATTTATAAGAAGGTAATACATGGCGTAATATGCAAGGTGTCTCAAAATATCCGAGATAATTAAAAATTGCACATTGTACACGACTTTTAGACTCAATTTAATCCAATCTACTTGCACATTGAGTATTGTCTCAAATTTTCTGGGACACCTTTTAGAAATGACATTCAAACGAAATAAACAAAATAAAACAAACTAAAAAGTATATATAAGTGCAAAATATAAGTACATAATATAAGTGGAAAGAAATAAAAGGAGTTCCAATTTTTAAACTACATAATTCTAACTAATTAATCAGATTATCCGACATCGTCGAAATCACTGGTTATTTCATTTTCAAATTTGCTCCAATTTTTAAAGTAATAACTGTTACCACAATGTGGATCACCACTTTTTGCGTTCATTTTCATTTACGTTCAACATACTCAATAAGACTATCACAGTTTTACTGCCAAGAATCAACGATGAGTTGGTCTATTCTAAATGGGTGGCACTCAGTTGGACACGGCTCAATTGGACACGAGCCACTCACAGCGCTTGAGACTACAAAGCTCCTAAGCACCGGTCGCTGTGATTGGTGGTGTCCAATCGAGCCGTGATCAATCGGGATCACCCCATTCTAAATTATTAACTTGCAACATTTGTGGCCACGATGTGGATCACCATCTTTTTGCATTCTTTATTTATATACTCTCGACTTCTTATTTAATAACATTATTATGGTTTTATTGCCGAGAATTTTTTACGATGTCTATTTTATGTTATTAACTTGCAACATTATAATACAGAACATGAAGAATATTGTTAATTACATAGATATCCGACAACAATAATTTATTTTCTGTTACATTGAGAATGACCTGATCGAAACATATATAAGTATTTTCATTTTCATGTGTTAAATTAAATTTGTTGTTACATTACTGGCTCTTAGCCCTTAATTTATTCTAAATAGTTTTATACATGTGGAGCCTTATTATTATTTATTAATTAATCAGATATTTTGGTTTATTACATTTTTCTGATTTTATTGTTTGCAATTTATATAAACCCGATTTTCATCCGTTGCTCCATCTTCAAGTATGAAATGTAAGTCTGATCATTCAACCTGCTCACAGAACATCCTCAAATAATTTAATTAGTTGATACCTATTGCATATGAATATTTTCCAGAGAAAGTGTCAAAAATATATGATTCACTTGAAAATAGGACAACTCGGCGAAAAAGAGTCGTAGAATAAATTTCAAAAAATGAATTTGAAGGAGAGACTTTAAACTTCAAAATAACTATAATAAAAGTTTTTTACAACATTGTTTAACAACATTGTGTCATACACGATTTCAAAATTCAATATTTAAAAAATTTTTTCACGATTATCTAATAAAAGCATTATTTAATAAAAGGAAATGGTTTGCAGGTTAAACGGTTTAATGTGTCTTATAATTGAAGCTCTTTGACCTTCAAAACGCTGTTTTAGTTTTCTCTTTGTAACTATTTCTTACGATGTTATGTAAGATTCAATTCTAGGTATATTTCGTACGATTAAAAGTAATCCTTTAATTTTAATGCGTAGTATATTTAATAGCGATTAAATAAATAAACATGAAAAAGAATGATTCCATGAAAAAATCTTATCATAATATTTATGGCAGAATGCATATGATTTTATAGACATGTTAATTATTATGGCATGTATATCATCACTAAACGCTCTTCTCGATTGCTGATCTCTTAATTAAATTCTCCAAAATATTCTGCAAACCGGCAGGATATTCCGTGCCAGCGTAACTCGGAGTCTGTCTCTTGTCGCAAATCATCTCCTCGTCAGACGGGATTAAGTCGTCAATTAAATCCAGATATTTATCGAAAGGACACAGTGTGTCACAACCTGGGATTGTAAGATCTTTGATAGTTGGTGGAATGCCCCGATAATATACGAGCTAAAACAATCCATTACATGATATATGATACATATAATTATATATGTATTATTTCTTTTTTCATTATTAGAATAATACATATATTGCTTGGGTGTGATAAAAATGTTTACCTTCACATAATACTCTTGCTGGATCTGTTGCAATTCCAAAATAACTGCGCTAGAATACTCAGGTACATGCGGTTTATACACACCAAACGCGTGCAACATACCTGCAATGTTGGTCTCATGACCACTGTATAAGTAAATCCTCGTATTCGGCGCAGCATTTGGATTTTGTGCAGCTATCATACTGTCTGTCATGGCACGGATCATTGGACCTAAAACAATGCAAGAGCATGTAATAATTATACTAACAAAATTCTAATTAAAACTGCAGTTTTCCATTTTTTACACATATAATAAATTTAATTTGTAAATTTTACATTAAAATTTTTGGGGATTTTGTTATATGTATACATATATATGCAATTGAGGGGCTAGATTCTATAACGGGATGCGCGTGGTTTTTGAGACTTATAAATGCAATTAAATACTACCATATATATTATAGTTGCAATTATTTAAATATTACTATAGGTGCGTTCCGATATTCACTGTGGGGGTTGCAGCCCCCCCCTCCCCCGAAATTTTAAATAATTTCAATAATTTCATAAGAATGCGTAAAAAATTGTTGAGCCGCAAATATCAATTTGTTTTGAGAGAGGAAATTAAATCTTGTTGAGATAGTTCTCATATATAATTTAGTTAGCAAAAATATCGTTTATTATGTATTAAAAATATATCAATTACACAAATGGCATTGTATTTTCAGATTAGCAATATGGTCTCGTGTCACAATTTCAAGGTAGTTTTTTCTTTGATAGCAAAGTACGTCTTTCACCGTTTGCAAATATTTTCGATTTTACACAAATTATTACGAGGTTTCCACACATTTGATACACCCTGCATAATTATTAATATACATTTTTAATAGTTATGTATTATTAAATAAAATATTTTTATCAAGATCAATATACTTACCAGCGTATAATCTCCTTATTAAAGGAGTAAAGTTACTAATATTATATGAAGCTACAATTCCATCAAATAATGGGCCATAAGGAAAATAGTCATATGCCCATTCAGGAAGAGGCAATCCTAAAGAAGATTCGGCTATGAAAGTGTGATAAAGAAAGTAAAGATCCTCTAGCGTCTGTATGTTCTTGCCAGTTAATCTCGTCAAATTGCCCATCAAGTCCTTGAACTGATCAATCTTTGCTTGCCCTTCAGGCGAGTTCAGTATTCGATTGTATTCCTCGAGGAATCTGAAAACATTTAAAAAAAAATGTAAATCGAGTTACTTTTTGTACATTAGTTTTTTAAATATCTAAAAAATTAATAGCAATATATATGTCTTTTTAAAAACTATTCTGTATAATTACATTCTTATAATCATATAACTATAATTAATTATATAATCGAATTGCTAACAAAAGATATTAATGCTATTTAAATTTTCACTGATTGCTCATTTCATCTGCTTTCCCTTACTTACTGTGGACACTCATCTGGAAGAATAATATTGTCATCAACACGTGGAGCGTATAATGTCGGGATTGGTTGCCAATTTAAAAGAGGATTCCATCGTTGTACATTTCTCGGTGGGAACAAACTAGCAAGAACAAGTTGTAGAGACATTTTTGTTCTCTCAAAATCCGAACTACGAGCTACGAGAAGTTTTGGCACATATAAACTACCAAGAAAGTCATTATATCTAGAGCGCAAAAATTTTCCCAATCTATATTCGTGTTTCTTGCCCTCCTGTAAAAGATTGCATAAATTCGATCAATTAGTGTTAAATAATATTCAATTAATCTTTAAAAAAATTGAAGGAGAAGGTTCACACTTTTGAAAGCTATAAACAGTATTCGTGCCCGACTTCTCATTTATGGCATGAAACTTTGCAAAGTTCACAAAAAATGTTGAGATTTAACGGATCGTCGTTTGTAATCTTATAGCTCTGTAAAAATCAGCCAAATCGTTATTTAAAGTACAGATCTGAAAAGTAATAAAGATTTCAAGCTACAAAATGCTTTTTTGAACATCTCTGACCATTTTTGTAAAAGTTACATTTATTTAAAGTTTATCCATTTTTTTCGAAAGCATGAGAGGTGAGGCTTTATAAACACTTTATATTCTTACATCACAGATGATATTATATGTGGTACTTACTGTGGTCAATTGGCCGAGGCCTGTCGGATAGAAAGAATAATTTACATATGGATCATTTGGAAACATTTCGCGACCATTATTATCGGGTGTTCGATCGCCATGTCTAAATACCTATAAAGTGTAAATGAAAAGAATCATTCAAATGTAGCAATTCTGGAATAACATATGCCAGTATATTCATAGACTGTGCGAAATTGCCAGATGTGGAAATTTTTCGCCAAAATGGCGCCTTAAAATAATGAGAGAGAGAGAGAGAGAGAGAGAGAAAAAGAATTTCTGTGAATCTCGAATGATTAATAATAATGCTATCTAACAATAATACACTTACCACATTAACTAATTTAAGCTCAGAAGGCACAGCCGCGATCAGAATTGCATTTAAACTAATAGTAGCAATCGATATATAGTTATTGAAATTATGACACGAGACCATATTGCTAATCTGAAAATGCAATGCCATTTGTGTAATTGATAGTTAAGTTTGCTAATATTTATAAATATTGACTATATATTCCGAACGTAAATATAATTTTTAATCGACAATTACACATGTATTAATTTTGAAATATCTTTACGACTGAAGACTTTTGTAAAGTTGAAACTAGTTTCGCTTAATTTTAATGCACACACACACACACACACACATTTTAAACATTAAATTCTATTACGATATTTAAAACATCTTAATTTATTCGCTCGTCTTGGGCTGAATTTTAATATTATTGATTTTGTGTTTCAATAACGAGCAGGTTATCATTGTTTATCTTTTTAAAAATAAATAGTTTAACTCCCCGGCTATATATGCCACTAGATAATCCTTTTCTGACATTTGATTCTTTTTTTTAGAGCATCACCTACTTGTGAAAGTTGCAAGTAGATTTAACAGAACGATTCTGTGATTGGCAATCCGCTAATCCGCATACGCGTGATTCGCTACATGGGACGTTCAATATTGTCGCGTACTGGCGTACGTAAAACGGCGGAACGTCAGTGATTGATCGGATCCTTCGATACGTGAATACGCGCGTACGGCGATACGCGTCATAGGACGGCACTCTAAGGCTTTGACTCTTTTTACACCGAGCATTTGGTACGCACATTAATTAGTAACTTTCTATTAAATTATCTTAATTTTACTAAAATAATATATTCTGCCACATTTAGTTGTTTCGTGTTAATGTCAGAGAATTTTCTATTTATGTACGACCTCAAGAAGAATTCTACAAAGTAAGAAGTACGAAAGTAAGAGAAATTTCGTATAACACAGTACTAGATTTAGGATTGCAATCCTCTCAATGTTAGTAGAATGTTTTGCTTATACTGACATGCACGCGTAGCTACACGTAAATGACAAACTTCTTCTGACAAATATAAGCGTGCCGCTAGTATCTTGTACAGCCTCTTATTTAAAAAAGCTATTCGAGTTATTATAATAAAATTTTCTATAGAGTAGAGAAATTTATTTTTGATCATAGCGCATGTGTCCTCATTTTTATAGATAAATACGTTAATAAATACACGTGCTTGATTCATGTAAGATTTGTTGCAGATAACCTTATCCAGGAGATATCTCCATTGTATTCTGGGAGATATCTCATGGATAAAGTTATCTAGAGGTGAAGAAATTAGCATTAGAAGAAATGCTAAAAGGAATTTTTAGCTTAACAAAATTTTTTTTGGAATAATTTAAAGAATGATGAATTAAATTGGTATAATATGCATCAAAATGATTGATTAAATACTCATATCATATATGCATATATATGTTTACATGTATCGCCGAAATTAACAGCGAATTCACTTACACTACGTTAGATCAGTGTATACTAAAAGCTGCTATATACGAAATTAGCAAAGTTAAATGTAAAAACATATAAATATTTTAAATGGTTAACTATCTACTAATGATATTGTTACGTTATTTAACAAAATATATATGTATTATTTCATTGTTAGGGTTGATTATACAGCTGTATCATTGCATTGAGATATTTTATATAAAGAGATATTTTAATATGTACTGATTCAGCGTAGTGCGAATGATCGAATTTATCATAAGATAACTCAATAGAAAGTTAGTATTCGCATCAAGTGCACAATGTAAACTAGGCCTTTAGTCATGACGTGAATAAAAATCATCGAAAGGCTCCACGCGCGGCATGCTTTTCGTAACTAATGTCGCACGCGAAAAAAGCAAAGTTTTCATTTGTTACCAGTCACCACTCATGTCAGTTTCGTATTAGTACTGAAGCTAACATCCCCAGACACAGCACACAATATTTATAAAATATTTACAAAATATTCATAAATATTTATAAAGCTTATTTTAAATATTTTGTAAATATTTTTGTGATTTTAGATTGCATAGATCATAAACATTTATTGTAAATATTATGAAATATTTATTGTAAATGCTATGGAAATACTTAATAAGACATTAAAATTTAAATAAAAAATACTTAAGGAATATTTATTTATACTTATCATAAATATTACATTAAATATTTAATTTATCTTTTAATAATATTTCAAATAAAACTTTATGTAAAATATATTTATCTTTTAATAATATTTCGAATAAAACTTTATGTAAAATATGTATAAAATAATTGTATAATATTAAAAAAAATAATAATAAATAATAATAAATATTTATCATAAATATTTAGTGCTGTCTAGGATGTAGTATATAGTATATTGGTCGGCAAGTCAGGAGGATGGCACTTTAAAAAGAATTTATAAAAAGTTGCTAGTTTTGCTAAACGAATGATCGAGAAAGTATAAGTCCATCGGTCACAAGATTCGTACTATTTTATTAAAATTTTCTTTTTTATGAAATTAAACAAATTTAATTTTTAGCTTTTTAATTTTTTTATCAACTTAACTTTTAATTCAATTAATTTCATCATGGATTAATTTGTATTCTTAATTAAGTTAAATTTTCAAGGCTGTTAACTTTAATTTAACTTAGAGTTTTAAAAAAAGTTAACTTACCCACAACCCTTTGATGTAATAACAATGAATAATTGTTCTATCAAAATATTTGAAAAACTACAAAACTGACGCACATACGTATATTTGTGATTGTATTGTATTTTTTCCGGAAGTTAAATTATTATTTTCAACGTTTTATATTAAATGGCATCTATCGTCAAACCCGAATTGGAAAAATTTGTCGAACTACCGCCAATTGTAAGAATAAACTGAATACTGACTTTTTCTCGTAGCATGTAAGGCTTTTAAGGTGCACGAGCGTTCGCCCCACCACGTTATATTTCCTGTCCATTTTATCAGACATCGTACCGTGGACATCATGACGCACAAACTTATTAGGAGAAGTTTATTCTACGGTTTACTTTTCTGAAATCATGTAATAAATACGTATCATTTCTCAATTAACAAAACTTACCTTTGAGAGTCTAATATTTTGTATATAGTCATATTTTAATTCATTTAATTATATTTTGCGTGACAAAAATGCGACGGGGATTTACGAAAAACTGCAGGATTTCCCGTCGAATAGATTATTCCGTTGCGATTTAATTAGGAGGAAATAGATACGTCAGGAACTGAATGAGTCGCTACGCATTACGAGGAAATCTCACGAATATTTTGTGAATGTCGAATAGATGGAATACATTCATCAGAATTCAATATTCTTGTATAATTATATTACACATCCCAGGTAGCAAACTGTAGTCATTTTGACGTCAATAGTTAGTCATTTTGAATTATTGACGTCATGTGATCTATTTAAGATGTAATAATAACGTTATCTTTTTTACCAATTAATGACGCCGTTTATTTATGACGTATTTACAACATCATACTTATTGACGTCAGATAAATGATTAATCGATGACGTATTGGTAACGTTATTAGTGATCAATTAATAACGTCATTTATTTATACCACTCCTGGGATTTCCTTGCACATTTCAGCCAATTTTCAGCTTGGTTCCTGCCACTTACTTCACCCACGCGCAGCCTAAATATCGGTCGGCATTTAGGCTGCGCGTGAGTTGGTGAAGTAAGGGGCAGGAACCAAACTAAAAATTGGCGGAAATGTGCAAGCAACGCTGATTATGCCGTTAATAATACGAAAATAATGACATATTTTCGATGTTGGTTAATATGACATTATGTGGCTGTAACAAATCCATGTCATTCTTATAATGATAGGACGTTGTTGATTAAAAGTGACCAATTAATTACGTCAAATAGATGATACCTTGTTACTTGGAATTGTTCTTAAAATGTTGCGAATTAAGTCAAGAATGGATATCCAATTAAATAAAATGCAATTAACATCACAAAAATATTTCTTTTAAGTAAAATTCAATAATTTTTTTAGCAAAATTCAATAATTTTATAAATTTAATGTAATTTTATAAATGTATAAGTATATTATGTAACGTCAGAATTTTTTATTACTTCAAGAGAAACAATTATTTAATATTACATAATACGTGAAATATGTATGTATTAAACGCATAGTAACAGCATTTATACGATTTTTTTCTTCAAATTCCTTTGTTTATGTGAAGAATGTAATAAAATGCAATTAATGTTATATAATCACAATTCATTATACACTGAGAAAAAAATGCTGTTGATTCAATTAAAGTCTATATTACGGGCTGTCATTAACGTAAGTGATTAATTCATGCGTATATTTTATTGATATAAAGGCTTGATTATTGGCTGTGTGCAATATTGCTGTGTGCAAACAAAGCTGTAGGCAATCGTTTTGTAGGCAAACGGGATTCTCCCTCAAAAGTTAATAGTTTACGTGATATTTAATACTTTGTCAACATGTGCCAGAATAATGTATAAAATGTCTCGTAAACTATTGATTTTTCGATACTTCTACCTTAATACTTTTATACGCAGAATAATTAGAGGAATCATATTACGTAAAAAAATCATACAATTCCAATTTAAAAAATGAAGGTAACCTTGAAATCTCCGAAGCGCCTCCATCCATAGAAAAATTATTAATAGCATATTGTACCCCTCTTGATGCTACACAATTTAAGTAAAAATATTATTTCATATGTCTAAAAATAACGAGACATTCTAGATTCTAGATTGTATCACCCTGCATATTGTAAATTTTAATTTATGCGCACCAAGGACGTATCTCGTTTGATCACGTTGCGATTGACACAACCACTCGTATCGCCCGAGATGCTTAGAATTTTTCTACTAGTCAAGCGTTGTGAGCGACTTGTAATCAATTGTAACGTGGTAAAAAAAGACTTCCACCCCACCAGATACAGTATTTGATCCTCATTTGTTACATTGTTCTATTATTTCAATCTTTTTTAATTTTGCAATCGTTGCTCCAAGATTATTATTTAGCAGTTGCGTGTATCTAATTTATTAGATAAACTTATTATTATAGATTTTATTGATTTGTTTTCATTAATTTATATAATTACTAAATGACATAACTCAAATCTGTAAATATTTTTTAACATTATTAGCATGACATTTTAATACTATTAATCAAATGTTTTGACTCATTTTCGAGCCATTTTCAACAGAAATTGTACTAGTTAAATTATTCAATTCAAGAATATATAATACATAAATTCTAATGGTAAAGAATACATGAATGATATACATGAATTCCAACGTTATGAGAAAAGTAACATGTAGTCATTCACGGTTGCAAACCGAGTGATTTTAAGTCTGTTTTTTTATTCCTGCACTAGACTGTAGTAGAATTCTCTTTCTCGCTTTCGCTAAATATCGAACGTATACCTATCTCACTTTAAATTTCAAAAGTGTATACTAGTTTAGCCATAGAAAATAAGCCTCTTATTTCGGTTTAAATACTCTAAATTAATTCAGTAAATAAATGACATATGTATATCCAAAAAAGTTGCAAAATTGACAGTCAAAAAGACATAAAATGTTGAATGCTATAGGAAATTGGAATGCATAGGTAGAATGTTACTCGCTGTATAATATAATTCATATCGGAGTATAATGATGTTTGTAAAGGTACAATAAATTGAAACAATTAAAACATCAGCGACCAAATAACGAGCAATATAAGATGTTTTGTTAAAATATTTAATATAAATTTAACATATCAATATAATTATCAATATATAAATTATATTGATATGTTAAATTTATATTAAATATTTTAACAAAACCTTATATTGCTCGTTATTTGGTCACTGATTTTTGAATTGTTTTATGTTGCAAACTTCGAGCGTTTGTTAATTATTATTCTTGTTTTGGTACAATAAATTAATATTAAAACTAATCAATCAATAGATAGTTAAAGGTTAAATGATAAAGTTAAATAGATGATGTGAACATAAGATTTAAAATCAAAGTGAGTGAAAAGTAAAACCACACAAGAAGAATATCAAGACCTTACGAGTCCAAAAGAGAGAGCAACATACATCGTCTCAGAAACTAAGCGTTCCCCTTAAAGATTAATACGAAAAAAATGGTTGGACATCGAATAATAAGAGGCGTATAAAACATTTAAAAAATGACAGTTATGTATTACGATGATTGTATATTAAGACTTTTAGCATTTTTAAAGGTATGTAAAAGAAATATGTCTGAAAAAAATATTAAGAAACTTACGCTTACAAAGTACACGATGTATTTTCTGGCTGTTAAACTAGGTCGCAAACGCAGTATAAAAATAATTTTTAGATAATACGCGTCCTCCGAATGAAAATGCACACCTGACCGTAACAAGGAGATAACTACTACGAACTATGAATGTAATGGCCAACCAATTGCGTTTACATACACGTCACACATAAAAGTAAGAACATATTAGCTATAAGTACAACACAAAATGATTGCAGACATATTGCAAAATAATTTTTACTGAAACATTGCAATATTGTAATCTTTGTTGCGAAATCAGCGAAAAATTGCTGTACCATTGCCGTGATTCCGATAATGTTAAAATGTTCTTTCTGTAGTATTGCATTGAAACATCGTGACATCATTGTAATGTAATTATATATTTAGAATTATACAATATCGTTATCACGGAAAAAAAATTAGTTGCAATAGCAAAAACACGTGTGGTAAGGAATGATAAACTTTTTTTGCGATCGTTCATTTTATTTCTACAGCTTATGTATTTTTCTTCATGGAAATCAGAAATTTTCATAATAATGACATTCAAGGAAAAATTGATATATTTTGTGTATGTATACGTGCGCGTGCGTGTGTATGTGTGAAATATAATTAATAAGATCCTTATTTATATCGTTACGAAATCGCTGTTAGTTGTGCTTCAATTATTTAAAACCTAATTCAGAGTTGGATCAAAATCAATAGTACAGAACAACAAACAAAAGTACTACAAAAATATTCGATGTGTGCACATATTCTCATATGGAAAGGCACTGAAGTTTCCTTCTCTAATTTGAATAAATTTTGAATATATTATTTGACAGAAATAAGAGGCACGTATTTTTTATATCCGTGTCTGTTTTTTCAAGAGGTAAAAAACGCTTCTTAAAAAAAATTGGTTATTTCGAAGCGAATATCGTTGAAATTATGAGGAAGAAAAAAATGTTTGAAATAAGAGTTGTATGGCTTCAAGAATATTTTACAATAACAATTTTAAAAAATTTGTTCTCAAGTAGAAAAATTTTATTTATATAAAAATTAAAAAAAATTGTTTAATTATAATTAAATTAAATTAAAGTTAAGTACTCTTCAAAACATTCAACTTTTATTTCAAACATTTTTTCCATTTCTCATAGTTTCGATAATATTCGCTTTGAAATAGATTAACTAACTTCTCTAAGGGGTTTTTCATTTCATATTCGCTTAATTTTCCTTTCAAATCATCATAGTCTCTAGTTAAATCTTTGTTTTTTTTTTTATTAAAAGTAAAAATCACATGATTGCAACAATTGCAATGAATTACAAAAACAGATTGTCTAACATTATCTAATATCAAAATTTTATTTTAAAAAAGAACATTAACGCCTTTAAAGAAATAAAAAAATTTTAATTTATTAGAAAAACATTAATAAATTATAATAAGATTGGAAATAAGACCGTTTATGTTAGAAACATTACTTTAAATACGAAGCGCCACTACGGTCTGAATATTAAGATGTTGAACTATTATATATATTCATATTAAATGAATTAATTTCAGAAATTATAATTGCGTGCCGATATGGTTGTCGGACT